CCATTCAGTTGATCAAACCTGATAATTTGAAAAAGCACTGTTAAGTGTGAAGTATTTAAATAAGACAATTTTAGTAATATAGATAATAAATTACAGACAAGACTGTCAATCTTTGTAACAAACCATTGTTAAAACTTCTAGGTACGTATCATATTGTGGCATCAATGTATCAGATCAACTACTGTGATGAGATATGCACCCCTAGTAGAAATACAAGCTAAGAGCATAATAATTCAAACTTAACTCTAAAAACAACTTTGAAATCAGTGTACATGTGCACATAAGTTGTGAAGGCATACAGAATAACTATTTCTTCAAAGCAAAACAATCCACCTTTAAACAATATAAAAACAATTTATTTTGTAATACAATAGGAAGCTTGGCTGACACTGATATCAAATCAATTGTAACAGTAATACAATATTTATGAAAGGGTACATCCATTTGACTACAAGAACTTGCTTGTTCTAAAATAAAACTCTTGTAAAGTGTTGGCCTATTCTGCTGCTTTTGGCAATTCATTCCATAAGTCAAACACTCAGAAAAAAAAAACTGAAGCCAAACATGTCTTTTCCTAATTTCAAACTTGTGCCTTCTTGTCCCATTTTCTTCAGAACACAGCAAAAAGAAATCAGAGCCTTTATCCTATTTACCCCCCCCCCTCCCCGATAATCTTATAATTTTCAATAAGATCACTTCTTACTTTTCTTTTCTCAAGAGAATATAAGTTAAGAAATCTTATCCTATCCCTTGAGGGTAACCCTTGAATTATAGGAATAATCCTAGTAGCCCTCTTCTGAATGATTTCCAGTGAATTGTTGATCCTTTCTTAGATAAGGATACCAAAACTATACACAGTATTCCATACGAGGCCTAACAAGTTATTTGCATAAAGACATAAGTACCTATTTTGACTTGTAATCAAGTAATCAGTATGGCTATAAATACACACTAAACTTTTATTAGCTTTACTATTAGCAACAGAGCACTGCTTTGATGACTTGAGCGATTTATTCACCCAATGTCAAGATAGCTTTATTCAGTCATACTATTGAGTGGGTTCTCAGTTATATTAAATGTGTGATCCAAATTATGATAACCCAAATGCATTGCTTTGCACTTACTATAATTCAAGGTCATTTGCCAAATATTTGAACAACTTACCAGTCTTTCTATAGTACCTCAGCATCCTCAATACAGGTAGAAATACCCAAGAGTTTAATGTATGTTATCAGCAAACATTACTAATGATACTCCTATCAATATCATTAATGTAAATTAGAAAAAATAGCAAAAATCTAAGTTATAACCCCTGATTCACTCCATTAGTAAAAAGGATCAAGTTTGAATTTAAGTACACTAAATTCACAACATTTCCAACCTACAGGCAACAAGTAACATCCTTGAAAAAGTTAACAGATTAGTAAGGCAAGATTTTACTTTGGTGAATCCTTTTTAGCTATGTTTCACTAAATGATTTTGCAAAGTTTCTCTTAACAGTCTTTCTAGAATTTTTTTACTACTTAAGTAGAACTAACTAATCCATAATTTCCAGGAAAGCATTTTCACCCTTTTGAAAAATCGATGTTACATTTGCAACTCTCCAATCCTCATTTATCTGCCTACTGTCTATTAATCTAAACAAAGACAAAGGTTATCATTATCTAATCTTTGACCTCAGTGTTGTAGAAGTACTCTTTGCATGGGACAACAAGGTTTAGCATTATACTTTGCTTGTTGGACAAGTAGATTTATTTTTTTCACATTATTTGCTCTAATCCTAGAAAGCACACCAGGAGGGTTTTCTAGGGAGCCCTGCAAAATCCTTAAAATTTCTGAACTTCATAAGTCTAACACATGCTCACAAATATTTAAAAATAAAGAAATGTAAACCTTAAACCAAAACTGTAGTACTATAAACACAAATATACATGTCCCATTAATTCACAAATTTAGTCACACATGAACTAACACATTTAATACAGTGATATTATTACAGCTGTAGGAAAAATGTATAAAAGAATAAATATTCCAATAAAGCTTTAGACTGGTTTCTATGTCTATATAAATATAATAGTACTGTCTGTTGTCGTAACTACTTTGCAGGGTCAGTAAGTCCATGCGGGGGTGCATACAAATTTTCGGTTTTGCATTTTGTGGTTTTTATGTGAGTTTTTGTGTTTTTTACCACAACCTCACTTCCTGTGGATGGGTCTTCACCAAATATAATATGAGGGTTCATTGTGTCCATGGGGAGATACATACACATTTTCAGTTTTGTATTCTGTATTTTGCTGTTATTATGGGCATCTTTTTGTTTTTTGCACTTTTTACCACTACTTCACCTCCTGTTGATGGATCTTCACCAAATTTGCCAAGAAGGTTTGTTGAGACCATGCAGAGATACATGCAAATTTGCAGTTTCACATTTTGTGTTTTTCAGTTTTTATGGGCATTTTTGACAATTACATATAAGGGAAGCAACTTTTTTATGTTCTAAGATAACCTTTCATTAATCATGAATCTACATAACTTCCATCCTTATGTATATATTGAACACTACTTTACTTTGTAGCAGCTTAATATAAACCATCATTTTTTTTTATCAATTCTTGGATGTGGTATTCTACATACTTCTCTGTAAAATCCTAATAACTAAGAGTTAAAACCATAAAATACATGAAAATGAATATTTATGAAGAGTGTAGATGTAAAATGCAGCATATGATGTTCCTGTACAAATTGAGCTGGCAGCAGCATTATTTTAATGGATATGTGACATTTTCTAAAAAGGCCTATGATATATGGCATTTTATCCAAAAATAAAATAAGTTTTGTAAAATTAGAAACAAGCAATAAAGTTATATTTTTTGAGTTTTCATGTAAATAATGTATTATGGTTTTATTTAATAAAGTAGCCTGCTTTTGATTTCAATACTTAGGTATTGTTTATCCATTTCTAATTGTAAATCTCTTACAACTGGCAACAGACAGAGAATTTAAGAAAAAAAGAATCCATGTTTCAGTATTTCACATCTTATGTATCAAACACTTTTTGAAAACATACATATTGTCATATTACTATTTTAAAAAACAACACTGAATGCTGTGTTTGCAACTTAATGCAGGTGATGTAGATGTTATGATAAATAAACATTACATATTTAAAATTATAGAAATTATTCAAATAATTTAACTCACTTTCCGAATGTGCAAATCCCTGAATTTTTTTCACTATTATAGTTTTTCTTTCTTTTTTTTTCTAGAATGGGAAGAGGACAAATAATTTTTTATGTATTTTGTCCATTAGTACAGGAGTGTGTTTTTCATATATTCCACATATCTGGACCTCCTTTAAAACCCTGGAGAAACTCCTTGTCTATTGCTACTACTTTATCTATTTTAAATCTTTCAACTTACTATCAAGGAATTAATATCTTAATGACTCAGGCCAGTTCCAGTATTTCCATAGAATTCTCAGGGTCAAGAATGATGCTAACATTCTCTATTGTAGAAAAAGAAGAAGATATCTAAAAGTTAAACCTTCAGTCAAAACTTCTTACTGTTAGAACCTAGTCTGCATTTTAACATTTTATTTACCTTTAACATACTATAATGACAAAATCTATGCTGCTAGTTCTAACATTATCAGCCAGCTGTTTCCCATAAGTCCTTTATGATTCCATTTTTTAACTAAATTCCTAGCTTTCTTATAGTTCTATAAATTTTCCACCCTATCTATCAATGTAAACTTATGGCGTTTATCCTTGACTTTCTCCTTCATGTTTTTAAGAAGTGAATTATATTTGCTTTTCCTTGTCATCCTTTTCCTTTTTTGGGAACAAGTCAATCTTGAATTAAAAGCAATTTATTTATTCTTTTAAACTTCCCCAACTTGAACTTTTAATGCATTATTCTAATTCACTAATAATAAATGTTGTCTCATGGCCATTTATCCTCTAACCTTAATCAAATTTTACTACTTAACTACTAGGCTTTATTTTCTGCTGCCAATTTTCTTGCATAGTTTATATATTAAAACATTGATAAATCTAAAACTAAAATCCCCTATTAGCTAATACTTGTTCTGTTAATTACTAACATTAGTATTGCAACTGAAATGCAAACCATATTTATAGTTACACATAAGTAAATGCTTATTTAAAAATCCAATAAACCTAATATTGTTGTCTTATGAAAAATATAATTTATTATAATCACACTTGCCAGAAAAGGCATTCATACTGTAACACTTAATATTCTAACAAATGTCGAATTAAATTATATTCTGTATACTTTGTTTGATGTATCCCAGCCAACCTGATGAATTCTGGTATTGAGCAAAATGCATTGTTAGCAATTAGATATAGTGGACAATTCACTGAACATAGTTAACTTTTTCCTTCTGCATCTGTTGTTAAGCATTGTGAAAAAAATACAGTTGCTGTTACAAAGCAAGGTGAGAGATCTAGGTCATTATAAAGTTGTGTTTATTCAGAGTGTCAGTCACACCATCGATCCATCTCTTCCTGAGTCGCCCTCTTGCTTTCAATCCTGTTCAATTTGTATTATATGCTCATGTCACTCTTTGGTTGGGCTGCATTCTTACTATGCAGCCAAACCACTTACTACTTTGTTTCTCAATTGGGCATGTTCCAACCATTTCTCTGAACTACATTTCTTACCTTGTCTCTTCTAGTTATATTAGCAATTTTCCATAATCATCTTATCTCGCAAGTGATGATTTTCTTTTCTTGATTTTAATTAAAAGTCCAGGTTTGACATTGGTAGCATAAGGTTGGTACAAAGATGGATATTGTGGTTTAAATGTTATTATATGTTGTTCTTCTTGGAAAACTATAGGGGGACCATTTAAAGAATGTAGTGTTTAAAAAAAATCAATAAGCCTAATACAATTATCCTATAGGAAAAATAATTGATTATAATATTCATTAACTAGTAGTGCTGCTATCAAAAACAAGAAAAATTAAGTCTAATGATCTAATGTGGTAACTTTAGACTTAGTTGTACTTAACTAACTAAAATATACCAAAAACTATTTTAAACTTTGATAATAGTTATTTTCCTTGGAAAATCAACTACAAGCATTTTTAATTTCTCTGTCTTGGAACTAAAAGAAATTCTGTAGCATTGCAAAACATTCGTTTTGAAAAATACATTATGCTGGATATGATGAAAATTTACTTAGGTTAAAAATTTAAACTAAATAATTAGACAATAGAATATATTAATACATTCAGTCATAGTATGAAAGAGGTATATGTATGATATTGTTATAGATTGTTCAATGTATATATCGTAACACTTTTTATTCTTAAATATTGAAAACATGTTTTTAAATGTTTAATTATTAATTACCAGACCATCTATTTTTTTAGGCACCCTGCAGCAGTTTTCTTCCATCTGGTTTTTCGTATTTTAGCTGTCCTTGTATACGTACTATGTGAATGGTTCAGTAATAGCTTCATTGCAAGTTTTGTCTTTATTGTTCTACTTCTGTCCATGGACTTCTGGACTGTAAAGAACATCTCAGGAAGGCTACTTGTTGGACTAAGATGGTGGAACTATATTGATGATGTTGGCCAAAGTCATTGGGTTTTTGAATGTCGTAAGGTAAGCACATCTGTTCCTGATTTTGAGATGTCCATGATCCATTAAAACTTAGTTTCTGTCTATGATAGTTTAGTAGTATTTTGTTTTAGCTTTTAAGCATAACAATAAATAGCTTAGTTTTTAGTAAACAAGGTTTTTTCTTCATTTGGTAAGTTTTCTATTTAATAGGTAAAATCCAGGTTTTGGATTTGAATTGATTTATGTAAGTATAAGAATAATGTTTAGTTCTAATTGTATGTATTTGCCAAAATTAGTGACAAAAATTGGGCTTCTGCTTGGAGAAGGTGACATAGGACTTGTGTTTTAAATATATTATAGCAACACATAATGTGCTCAAATATTAATAATGTTTTGTTTTTCAAATAATGCCATAGAATCATGAAAATAATTTTCTGTTTTACTTATTCTTTATACAGTATCTGTTTCTAATCCTTTACAAGAACTATGCACATTAAAAATTTAATGTATTAGCTTGTTCTTTTTGTTTAAAAAAACTCACAATGTAAAATAAAGCAAAGTAAACCACTAATTGTTATTCAGTAAATATAATTAAAGCAGCAGCTTGTAATTTACTGAATATAAAATATGTCAAACAGTATGCAAAATTACTTTGAGAAGAAATAAAAGTTTTGTTAACCATCCACAAAAAATCATGAATAAAGTAAGCACTTAAGTAAACAGAAGGAAATAAGAACTACTTACATGTAACTAGTGTATTTTGCTATCTTCTAAGCCATTTTGAAGTTTCATTATATTGAAAGAATTGACTTTTATGTTGATCCTGATAACTGTCATGTGCATATTATTTTCTATGAAATATCCTTACCCCAAATAAGGCTAGTGTATTAGGTTTCCAACATTTAACATTACTTATAACTGAATATGGATAACTCCTAAGTTCACATTCAGCTATCTTGAGAAACTCTAAATCAAACAACAATATAAACAAATGGTTGTTATTCTCTCTCTATATTCACAAGTACATGAGCCCATAAGCCACTTCATAGTGAAGTGCATTTCTGTTTTATGTACATCCTGCAACAATGGTTTTCAAAAGTATATTTTGTCACATTAATTTCTTCTGAGTCAGTCAGAAATTTATATTTTGGCTGTGTGAAGATTGAGAATATATATATATATATTAATGTATAAAATTATTTGTTCAAACTTTTGCTGTTGTATGTACTGATAGCAAATATTTTTGTCCAAATTATAATTTTGATCAAAGCTCTGTTATGTTTTCCAAAAATTTGGAAATCTGTCACCTTTTGTTTATATTTGATTCCCAGAATTGTTTTGTAAGACATTATGCAAGGAGCCACAAACCTTTCTAAGAAAAGAAAAGCAAACTATAATGATGCTTATCTTCATGGTATTAAATATATGATAACTATCCTAGTTGAAAATGAAGTTTATTGATAGTTCTAATGTCAACTTCTTGTAAGCACATTCTTGTCTTCAGTTACCTGTCATTCCCAGCTATTTTGACTCCTAGAAAAAACAAAAATACAATGCCTTGGCCTGTAAGGTCATAAAAGCTTAGAATTATAAATATGTGTGTTATTACACCATAAAACAGCAAAAATCAGATGGTACACTGTTTATATGATATTAGGGAAGACTTGAATCCATATATCTGTCTCAAACTCTTAAACTTAGTGTCACATGCCTCAGTTTGTCCACTTCATTGTCTTAGTTGTTCTTGTAAAGATTGAAACTGACAGTACATATGCCTTTTAAAAATGCAGTCCTTGAAACACAAATATAGTAAATGATTCACAGTCCAATTAGTAGTTTCAGGACATTCGACATCTATTTAATACTTTGTTGGTTGTCATATATCAACAAAAGTCTTCCTGTAGTTTTTAGTCCATCAAGAACAGTTATCCTGATGGTTGTTTAATTTGTGGTTTCAGTTTTTTGATCATCAAATTTTTTTTAATCCTTAGCTTATATTCATTTTCTGCTTAACCGATAGTTGAGAATTGAGCTATTGTTATATTCTGATCATAATTATTCCATGCATGTTGGACTATGCTGGAACTTTCCCTGCTTCTGGAATGTTCTTTTATATGCTTTTTAAAGCTTCATTTAGTAGATTCAAATCCAATATATATACATATATGTACATACACCTCTGTGTCAGACACCCATATCTATAGATGACCTTTTGGTGGCTTAGCTTGTTGATCTTGTCTTTTTACAGTGGGTTTAAAAATAACATCAACTGAATCTATGCATAAACTCTCTTGATTATATTGTTCAACTGTTTCTTTATTTTCAAATCATATATATACAGGTAAATGGTAATATGACATGAATAACTTTTTCAACATTATGTTTTACTTCCAGAGAAATGGAAACATCAGTCAATTTCAAACTCTTCCACCCAATATTTATGACCCAAGTGTTTTCTATTTAAATATGTAACAAATTTATATAATGGATATACTGTATGATGTCTTAATGAGCAGATAAGAGAACAATGAGAGTAGAAACAGGGAAATTTGTAGCATAGTTCAACATGCATTGAATAATTGTGATGATAGTTTAACAATAGCTTAAATCCCGATGCATCGGTTCAACAGAAAATGAATACCGCCTAAAGATAAAAAATGTTCAAGGATTAAGAGACTACAACCACATCTGAACCAGATACCAAGTGCTTGAAGCTACAAATTGAACTGTAAACATGCTATTTAAGTTATGCCATATGGCCTGCTGTTTATTGCCATTTGATTGAATGTCCTGAGATTAAGTTTTTATGTAAATTAGAATATTTGAAGAGAGTCTTTCTCCAAATTGAGGTTGTAAAAAAAAGGAAAGAAAATTGAGAGTAAACAGGAATCAAGCTCCAAGCCCCTTCTTACCAACTTAAGTACCTTAAAACCTAAATTCCTATCTCCAAGTTTCATACTTTACTTCACTAGTATAATCAAGATTAAAGGACAAGTCCAGAGCTGTACTTCATTTCTAATTCTTGGCATGACTTGTTTTTGTGTTGAAACATTAAAGTACTATTACTTAATGTTACTAAACCTAAAAATGCATTTAAGAAATTCTGGATGTATCCTATTTCATATTTTGTATATTTCTATTAATAAATAATAATAATTTTTACCTAGGGTGAAGAGACCTTATCAGTGAATTCAGCAGAAACCAGAGTATTTTGGGTTGCACTGGTACTTGGTCCTATGTTGTGGACATTTTTCTTCTTTGTTGCCATCTTTAGATTAAACTTTAAGTGGTTTGTAAGTATTCTTAAGATATTATAATATAAAATATTGATAATTTATAGTTTAAATGACTGTTAAAAAGCAGAACTATACTTTTTAATAGCTACATCTGATTGGTTGTTATATTATGTCTTTCACACAATTTCTTCTGCCATGCTGTTGTGTTGTTTTTTAAAATTATTAAAGATGCCTTTGCTATTAGACAGCTTCCATATATATTCAGTATGGTAAATACTAGTGTTATCTCATTATCATTTTGTTCACTTGGAGCAAGAATTTTAATTTTCTGTCAGTGAGCACTTAAAAACATTATTATTTAAATCAAAGAGCAGTACTCTGAATGTGAAAATTTCTGAAGCTAAAGTAAAAAATAGCAAAAAACATGTTTATTAACTGCTACCTAATATAGGCCTAAGGGTGTTGTGCATCAAAGTATTAAAAATATATGGTTAATTGTTTGATATTAGTTAATATATATTCAGTAATACCTCTGGTAATGAAATAGATTCATTCCATGATGCCACTTCATTGTCAGAAACTTCATTACCACAGGTAGATATACCATAGGAAGTAGAGGGATAAGTTTCAGGATGTCAGAGAAGGGGGTAAAATAAGAAAACAAAATTAAAAATATACACAAATAAGCTTAAAATGAGCCTAAAAACATGAAATATGCATAAAAAAAAGAATATATCTTGAAAAGACATTAAAAAAAAGATAATAAGCCAATGAAGTAACACTCACCATTGACATCTCTCGGAGCTAGCACTATGTTACCACAACTTATGATTTGCATTTTGATTTCCAAAGATATGGATTTATGCTTCCCAGTATAGCCACTAGCACTGAATGGTCATTTGGATGACATAGTGGTGATAATAAAATCACTTTATCACTGCAAATATCACAATTACATTACCAACACGAGGAACTCGAGCAATGGTGGGTGGGGAGGTAAAATCTGCAAAGCATGCTGCTGATTGAACCAGTGAGGGGTGAGCATTTAAAATTTTACTCTCTTGAATCGCTTTGCATGATTTCTAAAATGTTTCATTTTGCCAAATTAGGGGGGCGAAAGAACCTTCCACTGCTGACTTAAAGAAGCTTCGTTCCCAGAGGATTTATTAACAGAGGTGTTACTGAATATACATTTTTTTACTTTAGTTTAAGAAATGTTCTGTAACTCGCAGTATGAGACATTGTTTTATTTTAACTGAACTTTGCATTTAATTTCTATTAATATCACATGGCTCTAATTAACTTATAGGGAGGTATTCAAACTGAAAGTGAGGAAATAGCCTATTAACCCTGGACTGTTGAGAGAGATCATTAAGGTTTTACTTATTTCATTTACTTTCTCTTGCCAGTCCAACAAGCCACAACAAACCCACTTGCCTTTGTTCTATTTTGTTGTAATTGTGTTGTTGCATTTGGTAGTAAAAATTTATCTTTCTGTGATTTGACTCTTTCTTCCTAACATATGCAACTAGAGATGGGAGTAACAAACATACATACTCAGTAACTTAGTAGCCTTCAAACCTCCATTTAATGGATTCTAACTAATTACTCTGAGGGAAATCCACATGATGGAAAATACTAAACAGTAGTAAAAAAGGTAATATTTTGGTACCATGATCAAAGGATATCATGGTAGACAGAGTTTGCAGTATCCTTGACAGAGTAATTGGCCAGGCTTGTCGAGACTCCAATAAAATATACATGTTTGTAAAAATGTAGACTTGGCTTTTTCTATAGAAAGATGGGTTTATGAGCTGGGAGACAATAAGTTGGGAAACTGAGCAGTCTGTGAGTATGGTGGCTAAATCTATGGAAATTTCTCTCGTGGATCTTGGACTTTACTGTTGCTGCAAAGGTCTTTGTTGACCATCCTGCTGCAAGCCAGGGATGGGGAATAAGGGCCATCTAAAACAACCAGAAGGCCTTATGAATTTCTCTTCCTAAGATTGAATTTCAACAGTGGAACCCAAGTGCCCAAGGATAGTCAAGTTGTTAGACAGGCTTGGTTGTCCAACATGGAGTGGGGCAATCTCTACAAAACCTCTAGACATATACTAATGTGAGAAATAGAACCGTGCCTCTGGTCAATGGCACCAACAGGAAAAAGACAAGAAATGCCATTGGTGGACAAATTCCACCAACATGAGTGGTGTTGTTGGAAGGCAAAACATCAAGCATTGGGGCTTGGTGAGCTATCCAAAAATATCTCTGTAAAGAGAGAGGCCCCTAGCCAAACCATGAGATACCATTGATGGTCAAGATCCACCAACAAGAGTTGTCTCACCAGCAGATGAGATGGTGGGCCCTCATGCAACAGATAGTTGATCAGTGGGGCACAAGGGAGCTTCTTTGTGAAAGTAGGTGCTTGGCCTGCTGAGAGTATGAAGCAAAGTACCATTAGTAGAAGAGTTCCACCAACATGAATTGTCTTGCCTGCAGAGGAAATGGTTAACACTCGTAAGAGATGGTGGAGGTCACATTCAGAAGCAAATTTCTAAAAAGAGAGGTGACTACCTGTCAACCTGAGCATCAGGGGTGAGAGGTTTTTGGTGGATGATAGCCAACAACAGAAATTGTATGATGGTAATCAGTGGGTTAGCAGGGAACCTCTCTGTGTAGAGAGGCACTCAGCTGCCCAGAGAGCTAGAATAGAAATACCATTGGTGGATGAAATTCACAAGGGCAAAATGTGTTGCCATCTGAAAATGCAACAAGTTCCCATAGCCAATAAGGAAAAGAGTGAAGCAGGAGAGACCATCCCTGATAGAAGTAGTGTTTCACCAAAGCAACTACCAATCTCTTCAATGTGCAACCAATCCATACCAAAAACATATAAGCTTATGGTGAAGGCAAAGCAAATTTCCCCCAGTGGAGGAGAAAAAAATCAGTGTAAGGCTGGGAGTAGTGATCCTTACTTTGTAAGCTATTGAGTGATGTTCACTTTGAAAGATTTTCCATTTACCTGCTAGCTAGGACAGTTGTTTAACTGAAAAGCTTAAAACTTAAAGATTGTCACAACTCTTGCTTTCCAAGCATTTGTGGTGACATGAGATATGGTGCATGCACTGCATTGTATAGTTACACTCTTTTAGTAGCTAAGACAGTTATTTGTTTGAGAAACCAACAAATAAAAGGGTGTTGCATCTCTTCTTTACTGAGCATCCAAGTTATTTTCTGAGTGAAAATTGTGTACTCTTATCAGAGTAGCAGCAGTCCTCACAAACAAGCTGTAGGGTTCTCTAGAGAAAATAGTCTACTGTGTATAACTCCACAAGCACAGAGTGAGGATGTAATTATTTATTTCAGTGGAATAGGTCTTGTTTTTGTTAAGGTTAACTATATTAACTCTGCTGTGATGCCAACTAACATGAGTGAATTTACTTGTGTAAGGCAATACTGTGTCTCCTTGATTTGTAGCTACTGTATGTAGCTGTAGTTAACTTGAAGATGTACTGATGTACGAGGTAGAGAAAGAATGGATATTAATACTGGTGTAAGGAAGTTTGTCTGAATAGTATAGTTTCGCTAAATTCCCCCCAAACATTATTTATCTTGGAAAACCAGTAAGCTTTCATTGAGCTTCACTTCTCACAGATGGCAGCACAGTATTGGACCATTAGAAACTTGCATGTATGAAACTATAGATATTTGTGGTTATATGTGTGTGAAGTTTGGCATATATATGGAACTTTACACAAAGTCAATTATAAGTTTTGTCCAACAAAAAATGAACCAATCACTGAAAACATCTTTGAATGAGACTTTGATCAAGATCTTAAGGTATGAAGTTAACTATGGTTTGAAGAAACAGAAAGCCCGTTGATAGGCTCTTTGTTTCTCAATGCCGGTACAAGATCGATTGTAGATCGAAACATTTCACAAGTACTTTATTTTACAGGGAGAGCTAAGAATAACACATAGACTCATGCCAAGCTTGCAGGAAAACTTGGTTTGATCTGTGTTTCACAAGTTTTGGTTGGTAGCATTTCAGTCAGATAGAACTGAAATGTGAGTGAGGTAAAATTATTTGTGAAAAGTAAAATTGGTAAACACTATCACTAAACATAAAAGATGTGAATCTGGTGTACCCAGTAATTTATTTGTAAAGACAAATATTTTTGATCTTGCAGATTGAATTATTTCCAAAGAACTTGGTTTTCTGAATATATTCTTAACATCTCTCAGCACAAGGCCAGTTAGGATCCCTTAAAATGCAGACTTGTATGTAATGTTAGAGGAAAGATGTAACACTTTTGTACAAGGTGTAGCTATTCTCCTCTGTGCTGAACTTGTACCTGAAGAAACTTGCATGGGATGGGAGACATAAGTGTTAATAAATCTCCTTGGGCAGAAAAAACCAGGTCATCACCCAAGTAGTCTTTGATCTATATAGATCACTAATGCTGGCACTCCTCCCCCCCCCCCTCACCAATAACCAGAGTAGTAATTTAGAAAATGAGGCAAGGTTACAGGATAGTTATGAACCATCATCATGCCTGTGATGATTTTGGAGAACACAAATGGGGTTTAGGTCAAGTTCTAGATCCAATGATGTTAGCATCAGCTGTGGTCTGCAGGTAATAGGTCTCATGCTCTACAGACAGGTTCAGCATGATCACATATAAGCGTTTAGAAACAGAGCTTGACCATGTGTTTATTTCTGATGTTTTTAAACTTTGTCCTGACAGGTTTTCTAGGATGAAGTTTTTCATAACCAGGACATTACTACTTTAACCCACACTCTTGACCAAGTTCTTCTGATATGTTAGAGTTCTTTTAACCCTTCATTTTCAATCCTAACATTCCTTATTCAAGGGCAAAGTCTTTACCTTCCTGGCTGCCTTCATACTTTGAACCTGCCAGATCGAGTTACCCATATTCTCTGTATTGTAGAACTATCCCAAACCAATGTTAAAATAAATGGAAATAATGGTGAGTCATTTCTTTTTGCTTTTTGTGATGTTACAGAGTTTTCAGCATTACCTCAACTCCTAGGG